AAAGTGAATGAATAAAATCAATTGTGTGTATTTATGAAAGAACAAACAAAAATAATTACATATACTTAAGTAAATGAATGAACACATACATATATAGCGACCAGATGACTAGGCTCATAAATACGAATCAAAAGTAGTCGAAGATGAAATCATCAAATGCAAACGACAACCAAAAATTTCAACGAAATAATCAAGTAAGCTCTTTAGAAGAGAAATTCAATTATGTAAATGATACGCGCGAACATCAAGCATTCACTCATCATAAAACATTCACTGCAATATGGAAATAACTGCCCTCGAAATGATTTACTGGTCATCGATGAAGTGTGAAACTTGATTTTTGATATACTGGCTTATCTGATAAAGTCTATGCCGTGATCCATCAATCCATCTTAACTCTACGCGTTTCTCAAAAATATTTGCCGTTAACCGGAATCGAACCAGCGATTGATCACATACTGATCGCATTGACGTCACTGATGAAGACGACGACAGCGGTAATGATGAAGAAGGTAGATACACCTAAATATTCAACCTTGAAAACCACACCAAACAAATGACATAACAATAGTCTAAGTTGATAATAATCAAAATAACATTGGCAATCGCAATTATGATAACAATCTAAATAAGCGATAATCCTGACCTGTATAGCCACATCAGTCTGACAGCTGGAATGGCATTCACTTGCGATGAAGTTGAAATTGCCATCGTTCGATAAGCTGTCACAACCGTTTCCAACACCCAAATTGACCATTACACCGATATCTTGCGATGCATTAACACCGCAATTATCACTTTGTATACGTTCACTGAATCGTTTCTTTTTCCTCAATGGTTCTTCATTCGATTTATGCGACGTCAGAGATGACATCAAACGATCATTCAATCGTCGCTTTTGTCGCTGATTCGACCATGTGTCATGTTTTGCCTCACATATCAATTCACTTTTTTCATTCTCCTCAAACTTGATCTGAAATTCATTCACATTTCAATTGATTTTTGTTCACCAATCGACGAACTACTCGATAACCATGTTTCAATTTGGGTCATAAGACGAAATGAAACTAATTTGATAAAAACCATTTGATGAGCAAACCTCTAAAAAGTTCAACAATCGTTTCATTGTTGAATAACATTCATCTGGACAGCAGAGTGGCACAGACGCGGGCAATGGAACAGTCAACGGAGAGCATTCAGTTGAGTTCTGAAATTTCACTCAATTATGACAGCAATATCGATCGTTCCACAAAAGCTGCTAATATTAAAAAAACCACTGTAATTTCAATCGAACACCATCAAATGCACTCACCATCGAAAGTTTCAAATTCGCATCAAACGACCACGTTAACACCCAACGCTGTGTCCTACCCTGACTCAACGTGCTCACCGCATAATGCACGTTCCCATATTCTTTCAACTTCCTCGTCAACTCATTCAAACTCGCTTTCTTACCGATCATTGACGTGTAGAATCTATCAAAAGCATCCAGTTTTGATCATTCATTCAAGCACATTTACGAACAGATATAATATTATTTCAGATAAAAGACAAAGATTACATTTAATCACTCACTTCACTGAGTTCTGCAGCACGAAACTATCTTCGATCAGTCGACCAACGAAGCCCACTTCACCACCCTTAAAAATCACTCAGCTATTCGACAACAGCTTTATTTAGTGGAGCAAACATGAAAAGGAATTTCTAAATTATCGTATAATAATGGACGAAATTATCGCTCAAAACTTCCGAAAGACATTCACGTCAATCATCTATGTAGTAAGAATGAAAGTTAGAAGCACTCGATACAAGAAATGAATGACGCTAAAAAAAATACCGTTACACTCAATTCATTTCTACGACCAATCGTTGCTGAATGAGGTGCCGAGCGTTTGGTCACCTCATAACATTTATTCTCCATTGCCTTATTGCTTTCATCAAGCTGCACGAATTTCTTAAATTTGATTTCCTGATTCTTATGTGAACAAACAAAAGATCTAAACATTACAAAAACAGACATAACTAAACAAAAATCATGAGAAATGAAAAACTTTCGATAAAAAATGTGACTGAAGTCGACAAAATTCGTCAGGAATTTCATAAATTCGGTTCATGAAGCTCCAAATTTGAAACTGTCTATTATGAACGCAATGAACAATGGCAAAAAACGAACCGTTTCAGCTTCATCTTCACCATAAAATGGAGGATTGCACATACAAAACGTGAATTCCAGATTACCGTAACCACGCACAAGATCCTTAATTACGTTTGTTCACAATACCAGTTTTGTTTTTTTGGTTTTCATCAGGAAGAAGAACATTTCCTAGACTGATCAGAACTTACAGTTATTAACTAAATCACAAACAAA